TCTGTGTAAGTTCCAATTTTAAGGCATTATTTTTTTTTTGTCTTCTGAATAAATCCAGTAATAACTTAGATGACAACCAAGTACATTGCTAGGTCTTATTCCGGTTACATATGATATACATAGTTAACAATAGAAGATAAATACTTAAACTAAGCAATTAGTAAATATTTTTCTGCTTTGTATATCTTCTGTTGCTACAAAAATACATTGCTTTAGCATATTTTTGTTATATATATAGATATATATATTGGTTTCAATAAAAACAATTTCCTAATTATTCAACACAACAACATGACAGCAGTTTTTTTTTATGAACTGATGAAAAATGTATATGTAATACATTTATTGAAGTAAATATATTATAAGGAGTGTTTTAACTTTCTTTTCTAACGAGTATTTATCTTATAAATATTCGTTATATGATAATATTTTCTGTTGTTTTTTGCTTATTTGAAGTAGATTGGGTGTGAGACATTAAAGATCAAATGTATTTTCACTCTCAATCATTTACTGCTCTGTTTAATTAACAATCGTTTGCTGCTTTCTGTTGTTATTTGTGGATCATTTTTTCTCTATATTTGGCATTGGTTGGCTGCTAATCCAGTTATTTTTAATGAATCTTGCCCTGATTTTGTTCACATCTAGTGTTGATATTTGATACATTGGTATGCTATGTTGATATTAATATATGATCTATTTGTTTTATATGGATACAAATTTTTGGCTGCTACTTAGTATCAGCAATAGGTCTGAAAAAGTATCTAAAAATAGCAAATTTAGATAGTTGTATCCTGTCGAAGAAAGGAACCATGGCATATATGTTTGGAATATATTCCATTTTGAGAGAGTTGAAAAAGCACTATCTCGTTGAAAGGTTCTATACATCTGCCCTTTCTCAAGGCATTTCTTTAGACAAAGACCCCGTTTTTTCCTCTTTTCGGATGGTAAATATTTCTCAGAACATGGAGTGTGAATCAAACCCATGTTTGAATTAAAATTGAGATACTGATGCAAGTTCTTCCCTTCTGAATCAGACAGATTCATATCTGAAAGAGGTTGACAATAAGTTCTTTCAAAATTGACTATTTGTCCCTTTGTTAGAAGTGTTCCATAAATGTCTGCGATCGAGTAAATAGCTCTACGAACGAATGGATCGGATCGAATTGGAAAATGGAAAGATTTGTAAAAGTTATACCTTTCGTCACCATTTTGTGGAAAATCGTTAGGTATGAATATGTTAGACACCTGTAACTCGATTGGTGAAATAGTATCTCTCTCCAAAAAAGCATATTTTTTTTACCGCCGCGCAAAGAAAATATTTTGTTGCGAATGAACAAGATATTGAGGAATTGTCCATACGTAAAATCATAATTATTGATACGGGCCTTTTCCACATAAAAAGGGAATCTTTTGTTACAATAGAAGCAGAAGTGATGTGGATTATTCAAGAATCGAAGTCGATTTGCTTTATAAAAAGAGGATATCAATGAGCTTCTATGAAATGGTTTCACGGGATTCAGCCAATTGTCTTGATCGTGGGATATCATTGAGAAATAGGAATCTGTGTTATCAAAAGATTTCCTGCGATTCTTTCTAGTATGGAATGAGTCAATCATCCACTTTGGTATCTTATTGAACAAAAATGGTGATATTGTTCTTCCATTGATCAAGAATTTCGATTTTTGGGAAGTATCATGATCATCCAATAAGAAGGGTTTCAATTTTTTCAAATGAACGATTTGAAGACCTATTGATTCTAACAACTGATTGCAGAGTTGATCATTCGGGCCTTTCAATTCATAGATGTGGATCTCTGACCTATGAATGGGGATATTCCCGAAACTCACAAAGAAAAAAGGAAGTGAGTTAGACAAAAAGAGAAGAAACTTGGACAAAAAAAGAAGTAACTTGGACAAAAAGAAAGGAAGTGACTTAGACAAATCTTTTTTGTCGATAACCTCAGACCAATCAATCGAATATTGATTAATACGTAATCGATCGAACACTACTTGAAAACGGCTCTTCTGCTCAGAAATGAAATGTTCCAAATGTTCCTGTAAATTCTTGCTCCCATTGGACCATTTGTATCTATATGCATTAGGATCCCGATTCATGGATCTCTCGGTTCGAGAAATAAAAATAAGAGGATCGAACCATTTCTTCTGACTCTTTTTCAAATTTGATAAATGTTGGTTGATCGTATATTTCATTATAGTTCTATGATTCAGAGTATCATTTCCTATTTGATCCCTTTGAATTCCATATTCGAAGTTGCGATCGGATCTATTCATTAAAAGGAATCGATTCAATACATTTCTTATGTACCCATAGGTGCTATATTGGATTTGAATCAGATTTCGGATCAATCTATATTGATTGACTGCCTCCATTATGTTGTTGCTAGCAAATACGACTATTTTTGGTTTTGGATCTTCCAAATCATTCCTGCAAGAGGTCCGGACCCATTTTTTTTTTCTGATCCTTCGATAAAAAGATTCATTTTCTTCATAAAAAATAGGAGGTAGAACCAATAAAGATTTCTTTTTCGATTCATCCCTGGAGTTGAATACCTCATTCAAGAATTGTTTTTGATCCAATCTGTAGGAATCAATAGAAATGGCAAATCCCTTATGATACACCAGATATTGATAGAGTGAATAGATCTGCCATTTCTTGAAATCTCTCTTCTGATTCAAAATCGTGGTGTAACGTGTATCCCCCCTGTTCCGGTCATGGAATAGATGAAATAAATCAAAAAATGGATTTTTGTTCAAGAATGAAATCTTATTGGAACTGTCCATATCCAGTTCATCCTTCGGAACCATATCACATCCCGGATATGATGAAATAGGATGAATTGAGATGGTATTTTGTAAATACGTAATTATCTTGAATATATTAACTATTTCCTTATTTTCCGATCGCCTGGAAGGGACAAAAGAAACATCTTGTTCTTTCTTCAACAATTTATGATCTCTAGTGGACCTCTCAGTAGGATTCGAACCCAGATGAAGTTCTGACCATCTGTCAGAGAAAAAAGAACGAATGGATCTTGTACGATTCCCAAGAACAAGAAATTCTTCGATTTCTTTCGGAAGTAGATGATCAAATAGTTTTTTGGCTGTATATATTTTCTTTTTAATTACCTGTTCTTAGTTTAACTTTTTCTAAAAAAATTTCTTCCATAAAATCTATATATGTACATGTTACTTTTTTTTTGGCAAATGAATTCTACCTTTTTTATTTGCTATAATTTTTTTTCCCACATTTTTTATACTTGAGCGATGATGATGTTACAAAAACTTTGATTTTTAATGTATTGCATAGGTTGTCTGAATATTGCTATGAATACATATGATATCATCAGATTCGACAAGGTAATATAAATGTTTTTAGCTCCTTTAATTTACACTATAAAATAAAAGTTTGTCAACTTTTTTAAATATTACATTCACTGATTTTTCTTTCTTAACATTCCTATCTTCCAATTAAAAAGAAGAGCACGATGAATCTAATAAGTATCAGTGTTTTATATTATATATACGTTTGTATATACATGTAAATATATTTTGAATTACAATACTGTATATGTATATATTTGTAAATATGTTTGTAATAATCTTAAATCCTTCACATGATACAACATTATATTGCGAATAGATCTAATATGCATCAATATTTTATATTGTATTCCGTAGCAACGCGCGGAATACAGGCTCGTGTCTATTATACAATAGATTAAAAAATGTCCCATAAATTGTGATTTTTGTACATAAATCGGTAAAATATTCTGTAATGATATTTCTATTTTTGTTAACCACTTTTAGAATTAGTTATACAAAATCATAACTATACCCATGCAAGAAAAATATATTTAGAATAATATTATCTCAATAATCATAAATAAGTAGATAAATAATATTGTTTAATTAACGACGTATTTTAGGTATGGAGTTAAAAATATGATCATTACTTCGTTCTCTTTTAGTAAGAAAACAACAAGTCGTTTAAACGCCTGTTTGAAATTGATCTTGTTTTTGTTTTTTACATTTTTTGAGAAAAAAAATGAAAACGTTTTTAAAACGGCGTTTGGCACAAGAAAGACAAAAAATAAAAATGAAAATGATTTTTTAGTTTAGTGTAAAATGAGAAAAAAATAAAAAATGACTTTTAATCGTTTTTTATTTTTTATTTTCTTTTTCTCCTCTCTCAAACAGAGAGAAAAAAAAGACATTAATAAATTTTTTATATTAAAAATAATTTTTTAATAAAACTATCAACACATTTTTAAAAATAATTTCTCTCTAAAATTAAAAATATTTTTTTTATTTTCATATAAAAAATAAAATCATTTTGATACTTTCGGCCCATTTCAAATAAAGTAACGGCATGTTATCGACAGAGCCACATCCAAATAAAAATAATATCTTAATAAAATTACTAAATACATTTTTAAAAATAATTTTTATTTAAAATTAAAAATACTTTTATTTTTATTTTCATATAAAAAATAAAATCATTTTATTGTCTATTTCAAACGAAGTAACGGCACGTCGTCAACAGAGCCACATTCAAACGACACAAATCAACTGACACGTTATCTGTCGCCGCCTGTCAAATAAAATAATATTTCAGATCCCGATGCACTTCTCATCTCAAATCAAATGATAGCCGTCAGATCCACTTCCCGTTTACGACGATCCCATCCCACATGGCTAAATTCCCAAGCCAAGAACGTTATAAAGCGACCCATTCTGTAAAACCCTAGTCTCATAATCGCCGTCTCCTTCTTCCACAATTCCAGAGATCTTTATGTCGCAGCTTTTCGATTAGACGATAATCGCCGAGCTTTTGGGTTTAGGTCTTGTTATAGTTCTTTCTATTCCATTTGTGTCCATGATTTTTATGTTGTTTGCCTTTTCTCGTTTGATATTTTGAGCCCTAAATTCTCATAGAAAGAATTTCCTTTTTAAGATCTCAAATCGACGAGGCCCAAATGATGAATCTTTGGAATTGTTGAATGCTCAGATTATGATTCTTGGGCATTTTGATTCATTTATTTAATGAATAGGAAGATCTGATGCCTCTTTCTCTTTCTCTGAGTTTCGAGCACGTGAAATTATGCTTCTCTCTCGATTTTTTTTTCTTTTTTCTCCCTCCAATTATATTTTCTTTTTCTTTATTGGTAACTTGCAATGTTTTTTTTTTTCTCTCTCTGTTTTTTTTTTGTTGGTCATTGTCATAATCCTTCGTGTTTGGCCAATGATGCAATATTCTTTGACCGAAGTGCGAGTTGTAAGCTTTGCACTAGTGTCGAAATTTATTGAACTAGGACGGTCTGAGGCTCCTTTATTTATTTATTTATTTTCTCATATCAGTTCTTGTTTCAATCATCTGTCTACTTTTCCAAAAAAAAAAAAAAAAAAAAAAACTGTCGTGTGTTACTTTCCTAGAGTAAGTTCTTGCTGCTAGAAACTGTTGTGAATGATGAGACCATTAATTTACAGTTATCCCTGTCTGACTTATGGGTGCTGAAAATTTGTGATCTGACACAGCTAATATATAAAATTTAATCTATATATTTTCTGTATGAGATTTTTTATGTTAAGTTTATTTTTCTTTTTCTTGTGTTTTCTAGAATCCAAAAATCGTGTCTTCGTAGAATGTGCTTTTGTAATTTGGACTTTCTCTGCTCATCTAATTTGACATAGTTAATTGAGCTTAAGACAACTGTGAAGATGATTCTGTGAGAGTTTGGGATTTCAGTGAAAACATTCGTGAACAAATTAGATTGTAGAACGTTATATAAAATAAAGATGAAAGATTTGTAATTCCCCAAAAAAAAAATGCAAGATAAAAGATGGTTCGCTACTGATAGCTACATCTGAATTAAAAAGTAACAACGGGATTAACATAATTTCACACAACTGAAACGGGATTTGTAGAATTGTTTTACACCTACAAATTCACCGTCATTGCTTTCGAGCACCTATTAATAGCTGTTATATCAAGGAATACCACGGATGGTTCATTAGAAGTACATGACAATATAGGGTAAGATAGTTCCAATAAATAATAGTTGGTCCCAGCTTACGCGTTGTAACTTGTAAGTTCTTTACAGAATTGTGACCCATTGTGATTTTAGCCAGTTGCTAAGCCAATCAAGAATTTAACAAAATCCTTTCTAATGTGAACCAAATGAGAAAGAGGCCCTCGTCAGTTGCTTTAAAATTGAACCCGAACTGAGCGTTAACAGCAGAGAGGAAAGGGAGAGGTGAGAAATTGACTTTGCGAAGAAACCTGACCAAACCCAACAACATCCTTCATGGCTCGTGTCAAAAATTTGAGAATGCGTATCAGATTACTAGGTGCCTTTCCCTTAACCTTATGTTCCTCCAACCCAAATGAATATTTTCTCTCCTACTTGATCGTGATGTAGCGGTTTGTCCCATGCTTGGCCCAGTGATCCTTGAGATCAACTGGATTTGAAAGATCATGGCCTTCAGCAGCAAGCCGGCTAAGCAGCTTGTTAAAAGCACTTCCGCTCATTTTTCGGCCTCCAACTCGGGCATGCCGCTTGTTTGGCACTGCAGGTAGTGGATACATTGACATGGTAGTTGTGCAACACGACGATTGCCAACCTCCATTCCCCCATTTGTAGCACTGCCGTATGACACCAGTGCACGTACAAACTGGCGCTGGCATGGTTGACTCATCATAAGAAACTTGGTTCAACCCCAGGTCTTGACCCTTCCAATCGGACTTTGACACGACCAACTGTTTGTTAAAATCATCACTTCCACCAACCATACCCTGCCCACTCTTCCACTCTTGTGCCTTGCCAAATGCCATCTTATTCAAGTCCTCACTCTCCCTTTTAAGTTTTCTTGGAGGTTTTGAAGCCTTCTTATTTGGTGATACTGGTTTGGCCTCCTTCATTCGTTTTCCCCGCCTTGACTTTGCAGCATCCGAAGCATCTGGTGATATTGGGAGGGAATCTGTTGTGTTCATTTCCCTGGTAGCGTAAGAACCTTCATTCACGTGTTGCATGTGATGTGCATGCGTCTGTGGGTGGTGCATATGCTTTACCCCGCGTGAAATTTGGCATCCTGGTGGACATGAAGACATATTACCATTACTTAAGGAGTTCTCCCGGTACTGAAGGGTTGCAACAGCATTATCTCGTTCCATTATGGCATTGTTTCGTTCAGCAATTGCTGCATCTCTCTGGAGGAATGCCATGTCTCGCTCAGCAAGCGCAGCCTTTTTCTCTGCAAGGGCCAAATTTCTTTCCTGAATAGCTGCATCTCTTTCAGCCATTAGTGCCATTATCTGTTTCATAGATGGTTGATGTTGCATCATCCACTGCAATATCAACATTGTCAACAAACATCATCAGATAAGATAACTTCTTCAGAAGAGGGAGGGGGAGCTACCCGTGTAAATCATCTATTTTTAACATGATAACGTCAAATGTCATTATATTAAGTTACTTCTTACTATCATATGAAAATTGCTTCCACATACCTGACCCTGAGCTGTTTTATACTGATCTCCTTTGTGCCTTCCATTTTCACGATGCCCCCCATCGTCCATCTGAAACTCAAAGGTGCAATAACGATCAGTCAAATGAGTACCTTACTCACAAAAAGATATGACTTTCTTTATACTGAATTACTGATCAGTCAAAACAGAAACATTCATAACTTATTGCCACATTATTACTTTGCAATTAAATCAGCGAGAATTCTGTTGGATGGAATATAATCTGACTAACGCTTAACAAATAGAAAGTGAGAATATGTATAGAGGAAAAAAGAGAGAAAGTAATTAAAGAACTAGGTAGAGAAAGAAATAATAAAAAGAGAGAACTTCATTTTCTGTAAGCCATTCAGCTGTAGGTATGAAATGCTCAAGACGTGCAATCCTAATTCAATAAGGAAACTAAGGAAGCTCAACTAAAATAAAAGGTACGCTAAAACCAAATCTTTATAAATTATCCTGATTAATAGGATATTCTCCGGTCCCTAAATATATTATACCACAATTTGTATTGGGGACATAGACATAAACGTTCTTATGTTTACATTTTGGCTAAAAGGGGTGTTGTTTTGAGGTCCTCAACGACCTGAAGAGATTCCTTCATATAAATACTGATGGCTCACGAACATACCACCAAATAGATATACTAGCATAAACTCCATGCTTTAAGAAAAATTAGAATGAAGGACAAACAGCGAGACTTTCCAAGAGTTATAGATATTCATTTCTTGTTCCACAATATATCCTCTTTGAGAAAGGGGGAAAAAAAATCAAAATTCACACTTGATGCTAAAAAAGAGGCACCCAAAGGTTTCATAGTGCCATATACATGGCAGGACAAAAGCAGTAGCAACTGTAACCTAAGAGATCATAATCTATTACAGCAACTGTAACCTAATTACATAGAGATTACTCAAGTTTTTAGCCCTTCTTAAGACAATCTATTGCACTATCGTACTGAAATGAACATCACAATTAAGCCTTACCTTAGTATTTAAAATGGAACTATTAGTCACAACAAAATTTCATTAAAAACCCAAAAAAAAAAAAAAAACGAAGTAATTTCTTGAATAAAATTTTCGTAAGCATTGCCAGTCAAAAGGATCATTTTGGCATCGCAGCAAAAGACGATGATAAAGCCTAATATCTTGGCTTCAAAACTACATTCCAAAGACGATACGAAAACGCTTTACAGTACTTTCAACACCAATTTTGTACCTCAAATAGACCACTAAGCAGTTCAAGTGCAGATGCAAAGAAAGTCCTAGCCACAACCTAAATCGAGCTTGAATTCTTAGCCGACGGCTAAAAATGAAACGCCATAACCTTAGCGATCAGAATTCCTAAGAAGCAAACTTTTTATAACAGAGTAATGCCCTAGAAATCAAAAAGCCCCAAACTCTAAATAGCTAGCTCATTTAGACACTAATACGAGCAATTAGCAAACAAAATCAGCAAAATCACTCGAAACAGAATGAAACAAGCAAAAGACAGAGCAGAAAACGAACAAAACTCGGTAGACTTCTGGAAGTTGCAGAGAGTTGACTATAATCAGAAAAATTACAGGAAAAAAGAAATTGCCATAGGAGCCATGATGGAAGCAGAGATGAAGAGAAACCAAAAACTTACCGCGAATAATAGCTACTAGCGAGCCAAGCAGAGATTTGCCGAAACCCTAGCTCAGGAACAGCAAAAAAAAAAATCTGAGGAAGGAACAGTTTGGGTTTGGTGGAGAGGGAAAGGGAGAATTTCCACTTTTTTTTTTTTGGGGGGGGTGGTGTACAGAAGGAAAAAAGGGTGGGGTGGTCTTGTGGGGTTTTTACCTGTCTCTGTCTGCACAGTTTCTTTTTCTTTTTTCTTGTTCTTTTTTTTTTCAAAAATGAATTAAAAAAGGTTTTTTTTTTTTTCTCAAAAGAAAATTTGTTAAAATAAGTAGCGGAGCGGGACTATGTTAAGGAGGGGTGCATAACTTCGGATATGGGCTCTCTCTACGTTTCAGCCGTCAATTTATCGAGCCTCGAGATTCGTGCAAAAAGCTATTTCTTTTTCTTATTTATCTTTTGCGCACGTCTGTACAACGAAAATTTTCCCAAAGGACACGTTAGGTCAAATAGAGGAGGTGATTAGTGTATTTTCTCTCACTATAAAATCTATTTACCTAAATGATATTATATTAAATGAGCATAGAAGTCCCGCGTTCCTTATTACAAATTAATCAAATGATCTTTTCAGCAGAAAAAAAATACTTAAATCAATAATTTAGAGGTAATTCAATCTATTGTTGTGTTCTTGTGTTCTTTTTTTCGGATGTTGGAGCAAAGACAAAGAAAGAAACGGTTGACAAAGACGGCCATGACGACATGACCACGTTCAAAGTCATCGACGAGCATTTTTGCTTGTTTCTTTCTCCTTTTATTTCTAAACTAGTCAAAAAACGCGCGCTTCACTCATTTAAAAATGAAACAAAGTAAGGAGAAAACAAACAAAAAAAAAACTTAAGAAAAAAATTTGTGTAAAATATATCACAACTAAAATGGTAATTTACGGGTCTGTTTCGTTCGCTGGTTCAGGTTTTTAATTCGAGTTTAGATATAATTTTATGTGTGAGCTTTTTACTGTAACAAAAAGATTAGATGTAACTGTTTTTTAGAGCTTTTTACTGTAGCAAAACTAGAATTCTAAACTCGAATCGGTGAAATGAACAGAACCTATGGTCATAAAAATTACAAGTAAAAGATGTTTATGTAGGGATACATTTAAAAAAAATAATTTAGCAGAGTAATTAAAAAATAACATTTTAAATAACAATAAGAAAAATATTTATAGGGATATATTTGAAAGTACATAAAAATAAAGGTTTTCGTCATTTTATGATTCAAGTCATATTATTATAGTGTTTTCTTTTATAAAAATTCAAAGTCAACTATTTTACTACAATATTTTTCTTTCACATACACAACTCAAGTAATGACTTGAGCTGTGTGAATAAACATACCCAAAGACCTTTTGTGGGACCACCTTAAAAATCACGTGTTATGCAAATTGGTCTATGAACTAAGGGCTTGTTCATTTGTATTTTTTGAGTTAGGGTGAGGGCTTGTTCATTTGCACCCAAAAAATACAAATGAATAAGTTCAAATCTTGATTTGAGTTAATGTGCATTTAAGTATAGTTTGCGTTAAGACTCTAATTTGAATGTGTGTTTATGAACTTGAGTTGAAGGGTGAACTTAAACTCATGGCTTGTTGTTTGTATTTTTGAGTTATGGTTACTTGAGTGTAGATTTTGCATTAAATTTGAGTTATAACTTAAGTTGAAGTTGTAACTTAAGTTTTTGTTTGGTTGTGTACATTTGAGTTATGGTTTGAGACGTGAATCTTTTTGAGTTTGTGTTTGGATGGGTCAAAACTTGAATTTGTATTTGGATAGTATTTTAATAAAAACTCAATGGTGATGGAAAATTCTAATAGGGTATATGAGTATGGTTTTATTCGCCTCTTCGTTGTGAACGCATGGAAAAAATCATCTCAATAAGAATTAAAACGAAAAAATTATGACGTTTTTAAGAATAAAAAAATACTGTTCATTAACTTGAGTTTGAGTTTAGTGAGTTGAAGGGAGAACTTGAACTCTAATTTTTGGCCCAAACTCAAGTTCAAACTCAAATTTTACAAAAGAATTAAATAAAATTGTAACTTGAGTTCAAACTTTTTTGAGTTTAGATGCAAAAGAATAAGCCCTCAAATTTTAGCTCCAAACTTAAGTTAAAACTCAAATTTTACAAAATAACATAAATTTAAATAAAGTTGTAATTTAAATTTAATTTTTTTAAAATTTAAGTGTAAATGAACATGCCCCAAAATTCTTAGCAATTAACAACCTAAACTTACAATTTTTCATATCGCCACTCTAATTTATAACTATTAAAAAACACGGACGAACTGACTCACATGTTGCACTTATGGGGGGCAAGACAGGAATTCGCTTCTAAAAAAATTGTTATGTACTTTTTTTTATAAAAATAAAAAAACCTCCTCCTCTCTCTCTCTCTGCTCCAATCTTTGAATATTGAAACCAGATTCGTAAAGAAAGCTACCGCAAATGGGCAAACATCAACATCTTTAAAAATTGAAACAAAAATCGTAAAGAATTCTCCAACAAACATCATTACAAAGCAATTGTAAGTTTCTTCTCTAAATATTAACTGGTCAATTTCACACTTTCATCAAAGAAATAAGGAAACTCAAAAACCATTTCAACATATTCAAATCAACAATTCTTCAGCTGCCCAGACAAGAGGAAGACCAGAAACTCTTGTTCAGACTTTTGATTTGTTCTGGTATGAAATGGGTCATAAAGAAAGTGGTGGGAACAAAATTTAGGGGAGAGCTACTGGTCCTCAATCTGTTGAAAATTGCAGACACCATGTCCGGATCTTCAGGGGCTTTAGGAAGGTCGTCAATGGCCTCCTCCCACGTCGTTGCGCCGCCCACTCCTCCGTCAAACTCTGGTGTCGCAACGGCAGCCTTCCACTCCAAATCCCGGCGTCGCTGCACGCCACCTTCCCCTCTACCCAAACACATCGTATGGTACGACAAACGTAAACAAGATATGGGCCTTTTATGATTTGTGTTTTAATTTTTTTTCTTTTTTTGTTTCAAAAGTTTAATTCCCACCGGGATAATAAAGACCTGGCATACCCCTAAAAGATTACTCACGTGCAGATCACGTTCTTAAATCTGTTTAGTATTTAACATATGTTATTAAAAGGACTACCAATTCAACAGATTTTGAAATCAGAGGGGTTGATTACCAAGAATTTTAATTTAGGGACCAATTTGCAAAACACGTAAAGTTTAGGGGGGTCTCATAAAAAAAACCTATTTAAGGTTAAAAAATGCAATAAAAAGGTAAGGGATGAAAAAAAGAAAAGAAAAAGAAAAAACTATAAAGAAAAGAGAAAAAAAAGAAAAAAAAAACCAACACTTAAAAATGAAACGGGGGGCAGCACTCAGAAAAACAGATTCTCTCTTTTAAGTGAGCGTTGTAAATATTTTTTTTCTTCTTAATTAGTGATATACTCTAAACCCGACATAACACAATAACAACAGTACAATACTTTAGAGCTCATTTGGTGTGCATGACAGGACAATATTGAATTTGAGTAAAATAGCCTTAAGGGATTGGACTGGAGTAATGAGAAAAAATAGCAATCTTAGTGTAATCCAATTCCATATTTGGTGTTTTATTATTAGGATGTAGTCTTTCCTTTGAAAATTTAGGGTTAAAGTGTAACTCTTTAAATTTGAGACAAAAATATAATTTAAAAAATTATTAAAGTCTAGTTTACGTTTTAGCCTCTTCACTTTTGTAAAATTATAGTTTAACGTAGATTTTAAGTCCGTTTAGTTTGCTGATTTGAATTTTTAATTCGAGTTAAGATGTGATTTTATGTGAGAACTTTTTACTGTAGTAAAAAAATTAGATGTGATTGTTTCTGAGAGCTTTTTACTGTAACAAAACTCAAATTCTAAACACAAAAAATAACAAAACCTTTATAAATCATTACAAATAAGTCCCTAAAATTGTTCACATTTAGCAGTATGTTGTATTTAATCCCATGCATCAATAGAGGATAGCAATGGTTTGTCCTTTAAAAATTATCGATTCGAGCATGAACTGAATAAGAGTTTATCTAATTCAATCCTCTAAAAATTTTCACCAAGACAATATTAAAGTTTAATCCCATCCAATACTCTCCAGACTCTAAACAGGCTCAAGTTATACTAAATTGGAAAGATAGTACTTAACATTTAACCAACACCCTTTCAGAATTTCGATATCAAGTCATATTGAAGCTGGCAAATCATGATTTTGTTTTTCTCTCCTTTTTTTTTTTATTCGTTATTGACGTTCTTTTCCTTTGCACGAACATATGTGCTTTTACTGCCATGGACCAAGGTGGCTTGGGAAAAAAGATCTTCCTAGTAAACTTGTAGTGTTAAAATTACACAGAAGCAATAGCATCTCTATAGTTAATGTACATAATCATACTTTTCCCCCTCTTTCCTCGTTTCATTATATTGAGAAAAAAAAAGGGTCTCATTTCACTAGTTAATCAAAATGGAGAAGTAGAACGCGGAAGCATTAATCTGTGCTTCCCTTCCACTCAATACTCGATTTACTTAGTACTAGTACCCCAACCACAATAAGCATAGCTCCTGCAAACCACTACAAAAGTACAAAACGCGATTTGTTAGCAGGTTTGCAAAGTGTAACAATGTCAATAAGTACGTAAATAAGAAAACCAAACTTTTTGATATTAGCAAAAACGAAAAAAAAAAAAAAAAAAAAAACTTTTTGAGAAGGACAATTACTATCTTCTCAACGAGATTAAAAACTCAAGCTAATAACCCTACTATTGTTAAAGCAAAGATATGTGCCATGACCACTCAAAATTCCTCATCGGACAAAAAAAAAAAAATCTCCAAGACTCCACAGTTTGATACGATATGGATGTTGTAATGGATTTACATACAAGTAGATTGAAAAAACGACTTTTAGATCCTATTTTAGACTTTATTGCATAAAAGTCAGCTTGAAACAATGTAAAGCCTTCCAAACAAGTGCCTAAATCCCCTGTTCTAATTCCTCACAGAGGCCTAACTAAGTAAAGGAAATAAAAAAAGAAAAGGAACTCTCTTGCGTTCATTCCGTCAAAATATATCTTAGCATTGCCATGCATCCATATCTGGTATGCCACCATCATTCTTTTCATACAGAGCACAAAAGATAGTAAAAATCTCGATTCAAATGGCTTCTGCTCGGAAATCATTAAATACAACATATGTCCGACTTACCAGAAACGACAATGCTTCTTCAAACAAAAAGTATCCAGCTAGACCAGAAGTGAGGAAATTAGTGGCGAAGTTCGTCACCGTAGCTTGAAGAGAAGAGAGAACTTTAAGGCTGTTGATATAACATCCCCACATTGTCGCGTTGAATAATACCACGAAACCATACCTAATAATCTGTACAATTACAAAATTGTTCAAATCAATTCCAAAAATAGTTCCTTTCTTGGAGATTTTTACTTTCATCACGCAAATTTTTAAACCAAAAAAAAAAAAAAAAAAAAAAAAAAAAAAAAAAAAAAAGAAACAGAAATTTATCTCAATTTTGATTGTATTAAAATTGAAATTAAAAATTTAATTCGGTGGAATGAACGACGCTTAAATTTGCTTAATTTATTCCTTCAAATGTTACGATAACGGAGTTTCTAAAATCGCAAAGTAATTCCAGAATCCACAACGATCTCGCTAATTCTAGGGCAATCGATAACAATTGAAAAATATTGTAAGGGAAACTTTCAAATCAGAGTTCTGGTAATTAAAATTTTTGCGCTGCTGATTAAAATTCAAATGCAGTTGAATTGGGAGTGATTCTAGGGATCTGAGAGTGTGAATTGAAAGGAACCTGAGAAGTGAAGCGCTTAGCAGAAATGGCAGCAAGAGCGGCGGTGAGTCCGGCGGAGACAGCCCAGGCGTAGCCTATTCTGTTGTTGCCCTCCATCGGACCTCCAAACTTTGTTCAGAGGAACGGAGGAGCGAGACGAAGCAGGGTGGGCGTTGAAGCTAAATGCGGCGAGTTTTTTTTACACATTGTTGTGGCTTCGATATTCCTTGTTAAACTGATGCAAAAAATATTGGGATTACTCTACATGCTAATTCCACCTTATGGATATTGGATCCAGATTTTTTGTCTCAATTATCGTATAACTAATTAATCATACAACATCATCTTATAATAAGTATAAAAAAATTACTTTTAAAACATTTCAAATTTTTTATACAATATGACACAATTAGATAAAAAATTTAAATCCATAAGTAATAAAGGGACGAGATCTAACCCAACACACCTCTTCGTTAATTTTCTATATGATTTATTTATTAAAATTGCTTTTCTCAAGTATGCTATAGTTGTGTATATATAAATAATACTCAAACGTGTGCGATTGAAATTATATTTCGATCTATTATAAAAAAAGTGCATTTTAATCCCTTTGTTTTTGTAAGTTTTTAAAATTTTTAGATTTTAGACATATGTTGCTAGTTTTTTTGGAACTAGTACTTATGAAATAAAATTTATCAAATGCGATTATACTTTTTAAATTTTTTTCAAATATGACATTTTATTTTCTTTTTAATAGTTACTCCAAAATATGTTTTTTTAAATACTAGTTTCCTAAATGTACTTTTAAATAATTTATAGTCTAATTTGTTTCACTAATTTTTTTTTCTGGTTAAATGTGCCATGCTGTTATTTTTTTCCCTAATCATTCACAATTTCACATATTCAAAAAGCAATTATTTTTCTCAGAAAAAAACATATTAAAAAAAAAGCAATTCAAGAAATTGAAAACGCTGGCGAAAAAAAAAAATATTTTACTCAGTGAGACGCAGCGTTTAGGATTGAAAGAAGCGACGACTCGATTTACCTTTTTTTTTTTTTTTCCCTGATAGACCACTCGTTTTACTTAACCAAACCGAGTCAATCATAACTTAACTCCGGACTCGGTCCTAATTTGTCTCACAGACAAAGCACAACTCAGCCACGCTGGCAATCCGCAACAACAGGAAACAACCAATCAAACATAAGCACTAGGATCGAGGACTTTTCAAATTTTCCATATTCTCTCTGCAAAAATGCCGTTAGAGACTTTCAACTCCACGTTCCCCTATTAAACCGACCTAATCCCTCTCTGCCCCTGCTTAGATAAATAACTGTACAATATCTTCTTCCTCATTTGTCTTCTAATATTTTTCTTGGCGCTCTATCGGCTTACGTAATACCAATTCCTCAAACCCTAATTTTCGGTAGTCTCTTTTCTTCGCTTCAATTTTTCCTACGCTCTTCGTTTCTTATTTATTTATTTTGATCGATCTTTGGAATTAGGGTTTCGTAATATTTGGGAGATTTTCGTAGACAGGGTTCTAAATTGTTTCTCGATTTGCAGATTTCTTGAAGCTTTCTGTGCCTTTGTTCTGAGAAGAGATGGCTCGTACAAAGCAAACTGCCCGCAAATCCACTGGAGGAAAGGCTCCAAGGAAGCAGCTCGCCACCAAGGTGTGTAATACCTGGATTTCGAATTCGATTCTCGCAGTTTTTATTTTTCAGATTTTAGTGTAGTTTTCTCAAGGGGGATTGTCTATTGGAAATCGCTTATTTGGAAGTCTTTCTTCTTTAGAATGATAATATTCATGGATTTCGCATTGATGATTTTACTTTCTTATTGTTTATCTCGGGATATCCATGGAGGATTGTGTCGCAAAATGGGTTTTAGGGTTTCGCGACTCTTACCTGAGTTTTCGTTAGTTTCGAAATCGGATTTTAAAACTTATGTCTGCTAAAATTCTTGTTTAGGCTGCGAGAAAATCGGCTCCTACCACCGGTGGAGTCAAGAAACCTCACCGATACCGCCCTGGAACTGTTGCTCTTCGGTAATTTCAACGTCTCAATTAACTTTTCCCAATTCCTTCTAATTATAACATTTTTTCTAACCCAAGTCTTAATTATGTTATTACAGTGAAATTAGGAAATACCAGAAGAGCACTGAGCTATTGATCCGCAAGTTGCCCTTCCAGCGTCTTGTTCGTGAAATCGCTCAGGACTTCAAGGTATATAATAGATCAGTGTTGACAATTTGTTTTTTCAAAAATGAGATTCGATACGATAATTTTTTTTTTTTTTTCAATTCCAAAAAATTTTACTTGTTGTATCGTCTAATAATCTAGTTTATTGTTCGCTCAGGACTTCAAGGTATATAATAGATCAGTGTTTACAATTTGTTTTTTCAATAATCAGATAATATACGGCTTGATTATGTTTTTTATCATTGTATCTCTAATAATCTTGTTTATTGGTCGCTGTAACAGACTGATCTGAGGTTCCAAAGCCATGCTGTTCTGGCGCTTCAAGAGGCTGCTGAGGCTTATCTTGTTGGGCTTTTCGAGGACACCAACCTGTGCGCCATCCACGCCAAGAGGGTCACCATTATGCCCAAGGACATTCAGCTGGCCAGGCGTATCCGTGGAGAACGTGCTTAAATCCTTTAGTAAAGTCTTTTGATGGTTTTCATAGTTCTTAGATTGATATAGGTCGTGGCATTTTATTCCTTGGATGTATAGATTTCTCAATAGTTGGAACTTGTGTCCTTGATAGGAGGATTATTGTTTTGGAACCTATTTCTAATACGATGAAGCCAAATCCTAATTGGTGATTAATCCAAGTCTTGTTTTAGCGATCTAATTGCTTATGGGTGCGTTTGCTTTTAAAATGATAATGATTTGTGTTCTGTATGAAAACGTGTTTGGTAATTTTATTTAGGGGTTGTTTAGTTGGAGGATTTGTATTCCGATTTGAATTATGATTTACATTTCGTTATAATGTTTTCTTAAAATATACATGTAAATTGTAAATGGTTCTAATTTCATGATTCTTTAATCTATAAACCAAATGTCTTTTTAGAGATTTTTTTTTAGTGAAAATGATAATGAAAGTGTGTTTGGTAATTTTATTTAAGAGTTGTTTGGTTGGAGGTTTTGTATGCTGATTCGAATTATGATTTATGGTTCGTTATAATATTTTTTTTTTTAAAAATATACGTATATTAAAAATGGTTCTAATATTATTATGATTTTAAGTAGGGTTGACAATTTTAGACATGACATGATGAAATGACACGAGATAAATGAGTTTGAATCGCATGATTATTAATTGGGTTGTTAATGGGTTGGTACGAATAACAAGAAAATATATGGGTTGGATTTGTGCTAATCCGTTTAGCACACTTAACCCGTTTAAGTAAACGTGTGTTATTATCAGGCTGACACGGCACGATTTGGATCGACTCGTTTAATATCTATATATATATCTATATATATATACACACACACACACACACACACTTTTAGACAACCCTAAGTCTAAGTGTCAAACTCCCGTCCTTGCCCTGCCTCAGTTCTCTCACTCATTCTCTCGAGTCTCATCTCATTGCCTCACCTACTTCAGTCCTCAATCATCACTCGATTCAGTTCTCACCGCCTCAGTCCTCACTACCTCAGTCCTCATCCGCCTCAGTTTTCACGCTTCACTCGCTCCTCCTTCGCATTCAATTTCTTCTGATTATTGTGATTATGAATTTTGGCATCTTTTCACCATTTGGCAACAGTTATAGAAGTTTGTTTTCGAAATGGCTTCTCGAGCGTAGGTGTGTTACTTTTATCTGATTAAGCGCAAATCACTTCTACATTGGGTCGTGTTTGTTTCTTCAATCTTCACAGTTCCTATTTCTTTTTTTAAAATTGGTTTTGTCTTTCTGAGTATTGCCCACCAAATGATTTCCTCAGCTTTCGAAGTTGTTGGTTATTTCTGCTCATCAAAGTTTGTTTGGCTGTTTTAAATTCTGTTATAATCTTATTTTGGAGGGTTTTTCAAGGCATTTTGCGTCACGATTTCCCAAGAATACAAGTGATTTGCTTGAAATTGGATGTGCAAAATGTTCTATTACACTGGATCTTGGATCAAAAGCTACTGGCTTTATTAGTAATTGATGGAATCCACAATAGATGTTTATAGTAGAGCATGTTATTTGGTCCATTAATTCAAGATAGAATGATAAAATTGAAAATCGTGTTTTCTCTTTAGGTGCCTCATTCGCAGAGCCAAATAAACCAGATCGCTCCAAAATCCAAACCGTGGCTTTGTAGTTAGACTTGGCTTTTACTTTTGTTGCAGGGATAATTGAAAACCGTGTTTTCTCTTTAGGTGCGGTTTAGAGGAATTAATCTTGTTTTCCTGCTTCAAACTTGTTGAGGAATTAATCTTGTTGAGTATAGTCCAAAACTTGGACAAAGTTGCAGTGGCTCCAAAATATGCCTCCATAATACTTCTTTGATGCTTAGCTATGACTGTAAGCGTAAAGTAAATCAGCTTTTGATAATATGCTTGTGATTTTGTAGCTGTTATATTTTTATGCATGTGGTGATGAATAATAGAATTGAAAAAAAAAGTGTGTCATTCTAGAAGCAGTCAATTATGAAATAACTTGCTTGATTTGGTTTGGATGATTTGCAAGATGGTGTTTTTGACGTGCTTGGTTTGGAGTCATGAGAAGTAAATATGTAGCTTCAATTGTGAAATAACTTTATGTCTTTCTGCTTGATTTTGCTAAGAAACAAGATGATCTTTATTTTTTCTTTGACTTGTAGATGGATGATTTGCAAGATGATGTTTGAGTAAATTTAAAGTCAGACAGCACTACCGCATCCGCTGTTGCTACTGGTGATGCACCTATTGCATTGGAGTTGGAGGCGGATGTTGAGCCTGAAGCTAATTCCAAGAATCCGACCAACATTTCTAAACATAAAAGGAAGCATACTTCTGTTGTCTGGAACCAGTTTGAAAGGCTTCCAATGGGTGCAGATCAGGAGCTAAAAGCCAAATGCAAGGAGTGTGGTATGGTATATATGGCTAATAGCAAGAATGAGACTGGAAGCATGCGACGTCACATGTAATCATGTGTACGTAGAGACACGTGTGACGTGGGCCAACTATTGATATCACAAGACAAAGGGACTTTAGCGTTGAGTGCAAAAATGTTTGATGCTGAACACTTTCGTGAAATGATAACAACAACAATCATTTTGCATGACCTTCCATTCTCCTTTGTTGAATATGAAGCTATTAGGGTGACTTACCAATATTTGCATCCTGAGATAACTTTAGTAACTAGAAATACTTTAAAATGTCCAAAAAATGTTTTCTCAAGAAAAAGCAAGAATGAAATCTATGTTGGAGTTGAGCCTCGGTAGAATTTGTTTGACATCTGATTTGTGGGCTTCCATAGTTACAGATAGATATTTGTCATTAACTGTCCATTTTATTGATAAAGATTGGGTATTGCAAAAGAGGCTTTTGAATTTTTGCTTAATGCCATCACCATATACTGGTATTGCATTGTCTGAAAAGCTTTTTGCATTATTGTGTGAGTGGGGAATTGAATACAAGGTTTTCACTCTTACTTTGGACAATGCCTCTGCTAATGATGTGTTTGTTGATCTGCTGAAGAATCAGTTGGTTGAAAACAATGCACTTATTTTTTATGGTTCTTTTTTTCATATTCGTTGTTGTGCACATGTTTTGAACCTTGTAGTGCAAGAGGGGTTGAAAGATATTATATCAGTGGTTAAAAAGATTCGTGAGAGTGTGAAATATGTAAGAGGGTCCCAAATTAGAAAGAAGAAGTTTTTAGAGTGTGTAAATCTTGTGGGTCTTGATTCTAAGAGAGGTTTGAGGCAAGATGTACCTACAAGATGGAACTCAACATTCCTCATGCTTGACAGTGTCTTGTATTATCGACGAGCATTTTGTTATTTAGAATTGAGTGATTCTAATTATAAGGACTGTCCTAATCCATATGAATGAGAAAAGGCCGAGAAAATTTGTGAATTTTTGGAACCTTTTTATAATATAACTTGTGTTTTTTCAGGATCTAAATACCCCACTGCAAACTTGTACTTTCCAACTGTGTACACAAGTTATTTGTCATTGAAGAAATTTGAGACAAGTGAAGATACATATTTGTCTGCTATGGCAAAAGCAATGCTTACCAAGTTTGAGAAGTATTGGAAAGATTTCAGTTTGATATTGGCAATTGCGATAGTGCTTGATTCTCGTCACAAGTTGAATTTTGTAGATTATGCTTATGGCAATGTTTATGGAATGAAAGGGTCACCTCAATTTTTAGAAGTTAAGAGAAATTTGGAGTTGTTGTTTACTGAATACTCTAAGGGCAAGGTTTCTACAATAAATGTTGTGACTTCACTTCCTACTCCTATTGCTAAAAATTCAGCACACAAGTTTTTACAGAGGCAAACCAAAGTATTGAAGGTATATATGTTTATAAATATTTATATGTTGATTTTGTTAATTTAACATTCATTGATGAATACTAATTGTTCTTTATTTGTCTTTTTCATCTTGTTTTGTATCTTTGTGGTTATAGGAGTTCAACAACTTTGAAAGCTAAGAGCAAATTGTTATGTAGAAATCAGAGTTAGAAGTTTATTTGGATGAGTCAAGAGTACAAGGGAGTGTTGAGTTGGATGTTTTTGAATTTTGGAAAGGAAATCAGTTTCGCTATCCGGAGCTTTCTTACATGGCTCGTGATATCCTAAGTATCCAAATATCTACTGTAGCATCTGAATATGCCTTTAGTGTTGGAGGGTGAGTATTGGATCAATATAGGAGTTCACTTAAACCTGTCGTAGTTGAGGCATTGGTGTGTACAGGGATTGACTATTTGGAGATAAAGGTATATTTGTTTTTTTTTTTGTTTATTTACTGTCTTAGCTTATGTTATCTTAAGTCTTAACCATATCAGTTATCTATTATGTGTAGAAAATAACAAATCGATTCGTGAAGCTGTGGATGAAATTACTGAAGATGTTTTTAGTTTGGATATCAATGAGCCCACTACTGGTTCATCTTAAAATTCTCACAACCTCAACACCACAAATGCAATGGAAGGTAACAAGAATTTCCTTGTGGCATGCCTAAGCTATAAATTTCATTTCATTAATAAAATGTTTTCTTTTTCCATGAATAGGTTAAAGCAACTGGAAACTAATTTTGATTTTTAGAGCGTAGTTGGACATTCAACCTCAAGGTTCAAAGAAGACATTTTCCTATATTTATCTTATGTTTATGCACTTAAAATATTCAAATGTTTGGTTATGTTTTCAAACTTATTTAAATGTACTTGGTTATGTTTTCAAACTTCTTTAGATGTTTGGTAGTTGGTATGTTTTGAAATATGTCATAAGTGATGTTTTGGATATTTTAATGTGTGTTGACGATTATGCATGATTTTAACTATAAGTGATATGAAGTAGTCAATTAATATAGTTTTGAATAGCTGCTCATTGGTGGCATTTCTGGTCCACTAATAGCTGCTGGTCCCATCCGGGTAAGGCCTCTTCTTCTTATGTCTGATATAATAGAATTATATTGACTATAAGTTATTTCAGAAGCATTTTTCCAAGACTGTAGATTGATTGACTATAGTAGAATGTGTCATTCTTTGTGCATATTCAAAGTGTTGACTCCACTAAAGATGTCTTCTATTAATCTTGTGAAAATGTTTGAAAAAGTCCCTGCAGTGCGTAATGAACACAAAATCCACCTCATTAAAGATACCCCATTCACTCGTTTAGATGCTCAATAAATGATCTTTTGTTCTCAGATGTCTTATAAAAAAAGAAGACATTTTCTTATATTTATCTTATGTTTTATGCACTTAAATATTCAAATGTTTGGTTATGTTTTTAAACTTATTTAAATGTACTTAGTTATGTTTTCAAACTTCTTTAGATGTTTGGTAATTGGCATGTTTTGAAACATGTCATAAGTGATGTTTTGGATATTTTAATGTGTGTTGGTTATTATGCATGATTTTAACGATAAGTGATATTAAGTAGTCAATTAATATAGTTTTGAATACAATATAAAATTTCACTATTTTTGCTAGTTGGGTCATAAACGTGTTTTTTTCGTGTTGGCCCGTCACGACACGTTTAGTAACCGTGTTCGTGTGTCGTGTCGTGTTAATCGTGTTATTAGCGTTTCGTGTTCGTGTTTGGGTTTTTGACACGTTTATTAATCGTATCGTGTTCGTGCTCACTATAATCGTGTCGTGCCGTAATCGTGTCGGCCCGAACACGGCCTGCGAACACGAATTGCCAGCCAATTTATAATCCATGAACCAAACGTCTTCTTAGAGTTTTTTTAGTTTAAAAAAATTAAAATTGTGTTTGGTGATTTAATTTTTTAAAAAATATTGTATTTAAAATAATAATATATTAAATAAATAATAATTTAAGTTTAAATAAAAACACTACAAATTAATATAATAATTTAAATTATATTATAAATGAATAGTAAATAATAATTTTAAAATAAGATAATTTAGTAAAAAAAAAGTTTATTTAATGAATAATTTTAGTTTATTATTGTTTTATATATAAATTTCATATTTTATCAATTAGATGATTTTTAAAATTAATTATGTCATTATGTTATTGTCGACCATTATTTTAGATGTTTTTATTTTTTGTGCATCTATTGTTCTCATTCGATATCTTTTATATATAACAATTAGATGACTAGAACAATAGAATTACCCAAAAAAAGAAACATGACTAGAACTAATTAAGCATCTATATAACATTAATTAATTAAACAAAGAACTCTAATTTAACTCAATTCGCCTAGAAATAAATAATAAAGTTTAACGAACACAAGTCCGATAGGTAGTTAATGCAGTATGTTCAACAATATTTAAAATAAGAAACACAACTTTGAGAGGAAAAAAATGAAGAAAACAACACAAATAAAGAACCCAAATAAATTACAGCCTTTGAATCCATGAAAGATGACGATGAGGAGGCATTTTCACAAACATCCTCTTAAAGGAAATGTCACTAGCCAATTTTTCTACTGTCTTATTATACGCATCGTCGTCTAAGTACTTTTTGTACCCATTTAGCAAATTCATATAGGTTTCAATACTTGTAGTAGGATTCTCTTTCAAAGCCTCGGCTGTTGCCATAGTATGAGCTTATTTATCAGTTAAATATTACTGAAACAAATTAACTTTTTGAACATATGTTTCATTGCGTAAGGTAGCACAACTAACACTAAGCAACAGTACGAGTTCTATTCAAATGACGTAGTAGATAAAACATAAAGCCTGATATCAAAGAAAAAAGACAGTTTGGAGTATCTCTCCCATTTTTCATCATAACGATAGTTTCTCATTACATAAAGCCTCGAAGAAAAAAGATTAACTTATAATAAACTATTAAAAATTTCTACTGATACACAAGTGGAGGCTATTTTTAGATTGTTAGTTTGGTGAAAATAGATAGAAGAAGCATGAAAACCTAAAAAGCATAACAGTAAGTTATATATATGTAAAATAGATCAAGGCTGGTCTACTCACTTTGTAGAAACTCTAGGTAAAATGACAATAACCAGATAAGGGAGCATACCTTGGTTGATTTGGGGGAGTTAGGGCGGTGCAGAGTCGGTTGATTTGGGGGAGTACGGCGGTGCAGAGAATCGGAGATCTTCTCAAACTCTAACAAAAAATCCAAATCAGAGAAGACTGAAGCAGATAAGGCGAGAAGATAATAGAGAAGAGGGCGAGAAGAGAACGGCAACGAGACCGGTGAAGGGTAGAAAAAGGAGAAGAGAAAAAATAAAAACGAGTTTAATTTGTTTTAAAAAATGTGATAATTTTTGGAAGAAATACAAAAACACTTTTGTTTTCAATTTTGATAAAGTGTTGGACCAAATACTTTCTTTCTGCCAGTTTCAATTTTTTAACCTCTGAAAACGTGAAAAACGTTTTAATAAAGGGAAACAAACAGGCCCTAGTGTATTGAAGTTTGAACGCTTGGTTCGTTTCGTTGATGACGTCGGCTTTTTTTGGACGGCTGCGAAAATTTCACATGTTTTGCTTGATGGGCTTTTGCAATGCACGGCCCGCTTGTTTTACAGGCTGCCCTTGTAGCGTAATTTTGGCATAATCTTGGCAAAGACTTTTAAAATTACATGGTTAGAATTTTGTTATTTACTCTTGATTTACAATTTTTTAGTTAAATAATTGTATTAATAAAAGGGTATTTATTAAGAATAAAAAAAAGAATTTATGTACTTTTTTCTTTTATCATTAGGGGTAATTTTGGCATAATTTTGACAAATATTTTTAAAATTACATGGTTAGAATTTTGTTATTTACTCTTGATTTATAATTTTTTAGTCAAATAATTATATTAATAAAAGGATATTTATTAAGAATAAAAAGTAAAATTTTAAATTTATGCATTTTTTTATCATTAGGGATATTTTTTTTTATTTTGATTTATAATCTTTTTAATTAAATAATTACATTAATAACAAGATATTTTTTAAGAAGGAATAAAAATTTAGACTCAAGTACTCTTAAAAGTAAATTGTTTAGGTCTTTTTTTTATTTTTTTTCAAATGGAGAAAGAAGGTGAATATACTTTTTAAAAGTGTGTACTTAGGATTTTTTTTTCATTACTCTTTGATTAAATTTTTTAATTAAATGATTGTATTAATAAAAAGATATTAATTAAAAATGATGGTAATTTAAATTATGCAATTTTCTCATAAAAATATAAAGAGAGAAGGGCACGAGACAATAATAGGATTCCATTTAGGCTTCTAAATGCATAATTTAAAATCTTCAAAAAAAAAAAAAAAAGGTCTAATTGAACAGTCAATTAGGAACCAGGTAACCGTGTACCTTAAAGTTCCATCCATTCAGCAATTGTCTATTCGTGGAAAAATGAAATTTCCACCCGTAAATAATTGTAAAAGGTTAGTCTCTATAGAAATCTCGTTTATTATTTTTATACTTAATGATGCAATTTCAGCTACTAACACCATTCTGAACCGTAATGCTAATATCTATGTTATATTTGTTTTATATTTACTTTTTTGTTACAAATAAGCTTTAAAATCTATAAAAACAAATTATAATATTAAAATAATTATTTTAAAAGGGCAATGTTTGTAATGATAACATGAAAATTAAAGATATAAATTAATAACAATTAAATGTTAAGTTTATATTAAATTTAACGCCAATAAAGAGCTATTATGTATGTATTTTATATTTAGTTATCAAGTATGGCTATTTCTTATATCGAATTTTTACATCTGGAGCTATAGTATGGTTGATAGATTTATCTTATGAAAATAACCCAAAAAGGTTACATCTTCAGTTTTGAAAACTAAATGATTATGAAAATAAATAGATTTAACATTTGAAATCAACATGCATTGAAATAATCTCTCTAGAATGTATTTAGGTATATGGCAAGGAGATAGTGAGGGAGGAAATGATTCTGCGTCCCCATCTCTGCGATTCCCATCTTCGCTTAAGAAGAAATGGGGCCGGAGTTAGGAATTTTCTGCTGGGGAGACATTTTCTATACTTGCTCAATTTTCATCTACTATATTATACATTTTAAATTAAGTGTAAATTAAATTAAATCAAATCTAGATTAAGTTCTACAAAATAAACCATATGCAAATCAAACTTAATAATAAAGCCACAAAAACACTAAATTTTGTTTGAAAATTTAATATTGCATATATTTTTTAATATAAAATATGTAATATATAGACGAGTTGTCAATAGTTACGTTCCTATCGGCGATTACTGATCAAATTATAAAAATAGAGTACATACCCTATGTTCAATTGATGATGTAGTGGTTATATGACTCGCTATAGCAGCGTGTAGTCTTAAATATTAATTAATATTTTATTTAATTTTATAAAAAAATCTTCTTTTTTACATTATATAAACCTAATTTCTATACATATAAAATATATGATACGAATATATAAAGGAGACCATTAATTCAATATTTCTTATTCCAGGAATCAATACTTTAGCAAACATTTTAACAATACGAGTTGTTAATAGAAAACACCTCTTCTTTTCAATTATCGTGATTATAATTACTTACACTTTTTGTTCAATTAACCACTAAATAAGTGTGAGGGGTTAAACAAATTGTCATCATCCTTCCACTTTAGGCATAATGTACATGTTGTTCTTTTGGAGTGTGACTTGAGTGTAGTTTTTGAGTTGAATTTGAGTTATAACTTGAGTTTAAAATTATAACTTGAATAAAGTTAAATAAAGTTGAAACTTAAAAGAACATGAACTTGAATAAAGTTGTAACTTGAGTTTAAAATTTTTTTTGAGTTTTGTTGTAAAAGAACAATAGGTTTTTTCAACATGTCATTGATAATAATTTCGGATTCTGAAGACAAGTCTAAGCAGTCTTTTAGCTTTGGGGATATGTTTTGTTTTTTGTTTTTTGTTTTTTTTCAGCTTTTCCAATATTTAAAAGAAGAAACTAAAATAGGAATAGATAATACTGCAAATATTAAATCTAAGGTCTTTTTTTTTTATGTGTTGTAAATTTAGGGGTGGCAATTCGTGTCACGTGTTGTGTTTTGATCATTTTTTTAAAATTTTCAGTCAACCCGAACACGACCCGTGACACGAAATTTTTTAAAAACCGCAACACGAACACGACACGACCACTTTACGAGCTGACACGACACGACCCGAAAATGACCCGTGACACGAAATTGACCCGTGAACCCGAAATTGACACGAAAATTGTATACTTTTATTTAGTTTTTTACATATTAGAAATAACTTAAAATTCATAACACACTAAATTACAATAACATCCATTGAAATTAAGCAAATAATAGTATAAGATTTTGAGTATAACTATCATGATATCACAAGTTCATAATAAAATTTAAAATATGAAATGAAAAATATATGTATTTTTTAGTTTTTTACGAGTTTCGTGTCGTGTTCGGGTTAGGCGGGTCCAACCCGAAATTGACGCGTATTTTTCGTGTCAATTTCAGGTCGACCCAATTCTGACCCGAACATCTTTTTTCTCAACCCTAACCCGCAAAATTCGTGTCGTTTTCGAGTCGTGTCGGCGTGTCGTGACCCATATTGCCGGCCCTAGTTGTAATCCATAAAATAATAGATTTAAAACATTATTTTTTTTTTCTAAAGTAAAAATTTAACATTAACTTGGCATTCGACTTTCCTATTGTGTGTGTGTGTGTGTGTGTTAGTGGGCAGTTAAATATCATCGCTAAAATAAAGAGACAGTGTTGCGTAAATATTTTGATGTGATATCACAAGTAAGATTTTTCTTTTCAAAGAGGCAGAATTATGAAGATTTTTTTTTAGAAGAAATAACAAATTAAAAAAAAATGAATCCGGGATAGGAAAGAATCAAACATAAGATTCTAAAATAAAAAATGAATTTTTAATTTACAATTTATTTAAATAAAAAATACTAAAGTGCATGTCAACAGGTTTATAATAGGTTACCCATCTAAAATCCTATTTAATGAGATTTTTAAATTGAATGTTCACTAATTGTCATAATCTTTTTTTTAACCAATTATCTAATTAATTATAACAGTCGGATCAATATCTAACTGTTAAAATAATAATACCTACGAATAAATAAATACTGAAATAACCATTAAAACCACACCCATAATATATTTATCGGGTGAAAATGAGGCATAAGGAGTGTTTCTCCTAATCTCACTCTGCCCCGCCATAATTCGGGAATAAAATTTTGTCCCCATTCACGCCTCCATCCTTGTCTCAATTTGGATGGATGTCCGTCTATGTTCAAAGCGGATCTCCCTGCCTATAAAAATTATTGCCATCTCTATGTCTACTCCAAACAAACAATGCCTTGCGTTTCTAATCCCAATCCCCCTCCCCTCATTCTCTCTCCAACCAAATACACTATTAAACTTACCATATGGCACTTCTTTTTTGTATTTTTTTAAAATGCCAAACTACCTTTCGGTTCGTGAATTTATGGGCTTTCTAGTCAGTCACGAGTTTTGATTTCGAGTTGGGCCTTCAGCCCATTTTACAAGAAGAAAACATAGTCGATGGATATTTTTTTTTGGAAGAAAATTACAGAATTTACTACTAAAAATGCATATATAATTTTAAATTTATACCCTTTATTATTAATTAATACTGTAAAAAATAAAGAAAGACAAGGAATATGTGAAATATTTTCTGTATGTCAATTGAAAGAGAGAGTTCTCTTTTATAGTTGCAAGGGGATACCTAAATAGGATAACTAACTTATTACATGGAGAAGAATCCGGTAATTACAAAGAATCAAGAAAGTTGACAAAATTGAATACATAATATTCTGACATAAACAGAATATATTCTATCACAAATACAATATATTCAACATCCCCCCCTCAAACTCGAGGTGGCATGAAAACAGCCAGCTGGAGTTTGAAAATGAGATCACGTAAGTGTCCAGGAGGATGAGATTTGGTGAGCACATCAGTAAGTTGGTTAGCAGAGGAGATTGATCGTAATTGTAGAGTGTCGCAACGAAGATGATGGCGGACAAAGTGACAATCGATCTCTATATGTTTGGTGCGCTCATGAAACACATCATTGCGGGCAATCTGTATGGCACTCTCGTTGTCACAGTAAAGAGGGGTGCTTGTAAGCTGTGGAGCACCCATATTAGAGAGTAGCCATTGAAGCCAGACTAACTCGGAAGTAGTGTAAGCTAAGGCACGATATTCTGCTTCGGTGGT